AAGAGAAGGATTCAATTGCACGGTCATTCCAATTTGAATAGGTTCTTTCACAACATCTCATTTAGCTCGGATAACCGTGACTCGCTGCTAGGCGACAACCATGGTTTGTGGATGTCCTAAAAGGTTTCAATTAACCTTTATTAATAGGAAGAATTAAATTGTGGAATTTAATTCATATATCATCTCTGAGGAGTTGAGTCAACCCACTACCTTGCTAAAGATAACCTACGGATCTGCACACCCAAAGAATGTGATTAGAGGTACAAATGAGGATAAATGAAATGAGGAGACACAAGTCAATGGTTGATAATCAAATGTCAAAATCAATGGTAAAAAGTCAACATGTTGACTGGAGCAATTGACCAAAGTCAAATAGTTTGACCGGGTCAATTAAGTAAGACTATTATTATAATTTAATAGTTAAATTATAATTAAAAGATTAATTATGAAATTAATATTGGCATATAGAAATATTGGATTGAGCTTTTAAATATGATTTAAAAGGAAAGGGACAAAATAGCCTAAAAGGCTATTGGGTCCAAGGGATAAGTGGCATAAGATGATATGACCCATGGACCAAATGGAGCCCTAGATACCCATCCAATTGCCTTTTGTGGTGTCCTATATAAGCTAAGTGTTGGAGAAAACCTAGGTAGGGGTTTTTGGTTTCCTACTTTGGTTGATGAGAAATCATCTTTGTATCTCATCTTCCATAAACCAAAAATTGGTCCAATTAAGAAGTAGACTAGCATCCATACTTCTTGATTGCCTTTTCATTATCTCTAGGAGCATTTGGTGTGGTGAGGTAGATGACTCCAATCTTAAAGACTTAAGGTGAAGGAGTCAAAATCAAGAGAAAGAAAAGACCTTTCCAACAAAGGTGTTCATTCTTGAGAAATCAAGAGAAGGTCATCAAGGGTAAAGATTTATTCCCTTTTCCCTTTTCTATTTGTATTCAAAAAGACTAGGCTAAGATACTTGGTTTAAAATGAAAAAGGTTTAGCTCAACTAGTATAAACAAAATGAATCCGCCATTTAGAATGTTTTTGTTGTATAAGTTGTGGCTAAAGTTAATTTCCTAAGCATTAGATGCATGTTTCCTTCAAAGTCAATCTGAATAAAAAGAAATAAAAGATTGTTGAAGAAGCACTTAACCTCTTTATGATTAAAAAATATATATTATTGTTACAAAGGAAAGGAAGATCATCAAATTCATGTCAAGAACCTATGCCTCGTCCTCCTCCTCCTCATAAGCTTTGGTCGTGTTTTTCTTGTATGTTGCTACTTTCTGCTGCATCTTTGGCATAGCAGAAGCTCAAGCCACCACTCATCCATCTAAAGGTCCTTTATTTCCTTGCTCCTCTCTTAATCATAAGCTTTTTATCTCTTTTAATAAGAGCTTAGTTAATTTCTCTCACGCTATAGCTAGCTCTTCAAGATGACAAGAATATACATGCATGCATGCATCAACGATGGTTGTATAAATTATAATTAGGCTTAATATCACAAAACGTCCCTAAGGTTTACGAAACTATCATATTGCATCCTTATTGTTTTTTTGTGTCATTCGTGGTCCT